CTGTGCCCACCTTCCTCTCATCCCTGTGAATAGTTCATTTGCTGCTCAGGCTCAGAGATAAGCTGTGTGTCAACTATGAAAAGCTGTGCCAGAAGGAAATCAGACCTAGTGAGGCCAGGGATTCTTTTGTTAAAGACTTTAACACCTGCAGTCAGCTTGTCCTTTGGATCTTAGCAGATGACAACACCCTTGCTGGCTGCTGCTAACTGGAGTCAAGGGCTTTTCATCACCCCAGTCTCCTCCCCATATGTCTCTGCAGCAATCTCCTCCAATTTTCACCACCCAAAAACCCCTTTCCCAAATATCATGATTCTTTCAGATTCACAGCATAGATCTCTTTTCATTCTTGGAATGTTCTGGAAAACCTGGAGCTTTAAAATGTAATTGGTGGTGGTGGAGGAGAGTGACCTGTTGGACGTTAGGCTGGAATTTTATCCTAAAACCTTGCAGAAATGGCTGTGGTGTTACATTGCCTGCCTGCACTAGAGAGAACGTCTCCCTGAGGGAAGTGCTGATGGGAGGAAGCAGGAAGGGCTGCAGAGCAGTTTTTAAGGGCAGTGGAACTGCTGGCCCAGGGAAGGTCCCGTAACTGCAGAACCAGGAGGGAAAACCGACGCCTTTTGTCCCCCCAGTTATCCGTGTCTGGTTACTCCCTGTGTGTGGAACTTGCAGTCCTTAAAGCAGGGAGCTAAAATAGCCGAGTATTGGCCGTGCCCCTGAGGTGTGGGAGCCCCGAGGGACAGGGCAGTGCCATTCCCTGCCGGGCACTGACCATGGGCACGGCTGCGGATCGAGGCCGTGGCCAGAGGTCACAGGGTTCTGCTTCAGCTTACCCTGGAAACACCTGGAACCTGAGACAGATTTACTCTGTCAAGTCTCCTGTAATGAGATTCTGTGTGAATTTAAAACACGTGGCTGCCCCTCTTCACTGGGAGGAAGGACACTGATACCAGTAAACAAAGAGAAAGGGATTTGTTTCTAGTTGCTCACTGAGAGAATCGGAAATCGTGTCTTCTCTGCAAGCACTTTTTAAAAAATTTGCCTGAGAAACTTCACAGAATTCCATGTTCTCAGTGTCTTCGCTGTTTTATGAGGATCTTGAAGTCAATTTAAGCCTTCAGAGAAGGGGCTCTGGCCCTCTCCCTTACTTTGTTCCTTTGCCCATTCCAGCTGTTGCCAGCGGATGGTTCACTTTCCCTCTTGCTGTTCCTGGCAAACCTTCTCTCACTCCCCCAGGAGATGGTTCCAAACCGGGCCACCAGGAACTCCCCATTGGAAATATGTTGGGCTGGGCTTAGGTGGAAGTGACAGCCCACCCCTGGAAGTGTCCAAGGGCAGACTGGACAGGGCTTGCAGCAACCTGGGATATGGAATGTGTCCCTGCCCATGGAGAGGTGAGCTTCAAGGTCCCTTCCAACCCAAACCATTCCATAATAAATTAACTTTTTAATTATACTAATGCTCACTCTTTCAACACTTCTTATGCCTGAATAATGCTAAAATATTCCAAGGAGGTCCATTATTACCCTCCTCATCAAAAAGGCCCCCACTCAGATTAATGTGGCCTTTTCAGCAGATTAATGGGCTACTGTGTAATAGATTTCAGAGCTGTAGAAAGCAGCATTTTGGGGGTGGATGTGACTAAAGATTTATAAAATGGTTCTTGAAACAGTTTGGGAATTTTTCAACTCTTTTTCTAATCACCATGGTCAACAATATAATGGTTTTGCAGGAATGTATCAATCTGATGGCAAGTTTTGGAAGGTTTCATAGCATTTCTGGATGAGCAGAGTGGGACAGAGGGTGTGTGAGGCAGCAGGACAAGACACTGATGCAGAGGACCGAGGAGATGAGGAGGACCAAGGGGAGGGGTAACTGCTGACCTGCTGCCTGTTCTGGGATGTATCTATGGATTCCCTTTTGTTTTGCTTGCACAAAATTTCAGTTGGTCTTGGTTTTGCCCTGGAGCAAAATAAGTTACAAAACAAAATTCTTGGCTTTTGGCCAGCCCTAGAAGTGCTTCCAGTTGGCAAAAGTTTCCCTGGTGTTACCCATTTCCAAAGACTCTTAAATCCCCAGGACAGGCTATTTCTGTCCTACCATGAACCACGCCATGCAAGCAGCTAACTGGGGAGCACACTGGCCTCTCAACAGAGTGTGGTGGTTTTCTTTTTCCCCTCCATCCCTTGTTTTGTTATTCTGGTTTTTCGCTGGTGTTTGGTGTGTCAAAGGCCTGAGGAAGATCAGGCACAGGGTGAAGGCTCAGTGATGATGGTTAACTGGGACCCAAACCTGCTGGTCCCTGAGTGCTCTACAGGCACAGTGAGCTGGGAGTAGCTGAATGGGTTCTGTGGGATTGTCAATTTGTTTTAAACTCAGTTTCAAACAATTTAAAATGTTGGCAGCTGGTGGTTCTGCGTCAATGGTACTCATAAAAATGCTGTTTATTTACACCAAACCTGTTGAAAGAAGTTAAACCCCAGCAATTTGAAGTGCTTTGTTCCAGATTTCACAGATATCACATAATGCAGAATGTAACAGCATATGAAGAGCCCAGACAATTAGTTTTTCAAGGCCCAGAGAGAAACAAAAGCTCTGTAGTGTGTTTTGAGGACGTGGAGCATTATCAGTATTGAATCAAGCAAAGAGGCCTCGTTTGAGCTGGGTAACACTGGCAGCACAGCCGGGTGTGAGAAAGCACCTGACCCCAGAGGTGGGACAGAGCAGTGTCATCTGTGCTCTGCTGCAATGCTTTTTCCCTATAGTACGTATGGGGATGAGAGGGGAAATGGAGAAAATTGTCATGTATTTGATTTGAACACATGCCAGTGTCTGTGTTCTCACTGATATGGACTGATCTGTGGCAACGAGTCTTACAGCTTCCAACAGAGGTGTAGTGAGGTCCCAAATAAAATGCTCCAGCTGTGCCCTGCCAGTGTCTGCAACACTGCTGTTCACAACAAGTCTCCACTCACCAGAATTACCCAGTCCATCGGTTCATTACTCTACCAGGAATATATAAAATAGTGTAATAGGCTTGTATCTCCAATCTGGTGCTCAGTTGGTGTTTAAACCTGTCTTTTTGCCACAGTTTGTTGCCACAACAAGACAAGTGGATCCTGCCCCAGAGCAGCGGGGCAGGATCGTGTTGTGCTCCAGCCCAGAGGAGATTCCTTGCAGCCTAAATAAAAAGGGAATATTGCAAACAAAGGTATAAGTGGGTTGGATTTAAAAACTGGCACTGCACGATGACTAAGCCTCACTCATACCACCTTGCAGACCCAAATCCCTGAGCCACTTCTTTCTAGAGGCTTTGATTTATATATATATTTTTTCCTTTCTATAAACTTTGATTCTCCTTCTTGACAAGTGCAGGAGATACTGCTTTCATCACTTCTGCAAAGGATGAGCTAATGTGTTCTATAAGTTTTTTCTTACACTAAAGAACAACCTTAACTACTTCAATTACATACTTCCTACTTCTATGTCTTCCTTCACCCAGAAAAGCAGGATAATTCCATGCTGTCAACCAGAGACGAGTCTGAATGAGTTATATTTACATTTTCTAGTAGCACTGAGAAAATGAAGTGAATTGTTAGAAAGTCTTCAGAAGGAGAGGAAGAAAACACGGATCTGCAGGAGCAGAGCTGTGTTTGTCTGATCTGTCAGCAGCATGAGCAGTGCCTGGGTGCTGCTGAGGATCCAATGTTCTCTCCCGGCATCCCCAGAGCCAGCTGGGATCTCCAGACAAGTACTATGCAGCTTAACAGGTACTTGGCAAGTAATGGATGGCTGAGCAGGTACAGCTACGTGGGCAGGGAGCAGTTACCGACCCCGGGCTTTCAGAAGGGAACGAGTTGCAAATTTTTCCTCTACTGTTTCATTGCTCTGACACTCAAACCTTTGTATTTCTTACTAGATCTTGGCAGGTATTTCCTAACAGTGAGGTGTGCAATAGGCTGCTGTGTTGTGTTTCAGTCCAATAGAACATACGCCCATAGAGACTGCTATGAAATAGTCATGTTGGACTTCACTGCGCTAAGATGTTGTAATTCCCACCACATTTAACTGAGGATGGAGTGATATGGAAGTCCTGAATGCCTTCCCTTGTTGTGTTTGGATTAAAAAAAAGGAAAAAAGGCTGTACAAGAGCAGCTTTTTTTGATGCTGTTTAACAGCCACTAAATCCCAGACTACTTGGGTTTCACCTCTGCTGTGTCCGTACCATGGTGGAGGGTAATTTGTTTTCTTTCAAAAAGCATTTAGATGATTTTTGCTTGTGAAGGAGTAAGCACAGACTTCCAGAACGGTTTGGGTTGGAAAGGACCAGAAATTCCATCCAGCCCGACCCCCTGCCATGGGCAGGGACACCTTCCACCAGCCCGGGTTGCTCCAAGCCCCGTCCAACCTGGCGTTGGACACTCCCAGGGATCCAGGGACATTCACAGCTTCTCTGGGCAACCTGTGCCAGGGCCTTTCTTCCTAACAATTAATCCAAAGCTCTCTCAGTTTAAAACCATTCAAGGTATTGCAGAAACGCTGCAAACACTTCAGCTCGTTGCTGTTCGCGGGGGTTTCGGCGCAGTCCCGGGGCAGACGCCAAAAGTCACCGACGGGGTTTTGGCAAAACCCCCCACGATTAAAAATGGTCGTTGTCGTGGGCCGTTTTTCCGTGTCCCGCGGGCAGAACCCCCGGGGCTGCGGAGCTGCGGAGTCCGAGCGCTGAGCCGGCCGGGGGGCTCGCTCGGGGCTCCCGGGGGGCGGCGGAGCGGGGCGGGGGCTCGGACCGGCCCGGGGCTGCCCCGGGACCCCCGCCCGGCCGGGACCCCCCTCCCGGCCCGCTGTGTCGGTGCCGGGGGGCGGCAGAGCCCGGCCCGGCGGGTGGGGGGGGGGGGGCTGAGCGGGGCGGGGGGTCCGGGCGGGGCCGGTCCGGGCCCCTCCCCGCTCCAGCCGCTAAAGCCGCGGGCGGCGGGGCCCGGCGGGCCCGGAGCGGCTCCGGCGCGGGAGGAGGACGCGGCTCCCGCGGCCATGCGGGACCCGCCCGGCCCCGCGCTGCGGGCGGCGCTGCCGCTGCTCGGCGCCGCCGTGTCCCTCTGCACAGGTACGGCCCGAGCGCCGGGGGCGGCCCCGGGAGCGGCCCCGGGAGCGGCTCCGGGACGCGCGTTCGCGGGACCCCGCGTGTGCCTCCCCCCGTGCGCCCCGGCCGGGGGGGTTCGGGCTCTCGGTGCGTTCGACGCGGCCGCGCCGACCGAGAACTGGGTCAGCGGGGACTTATCGGAGCGGCCCCGCGCCGAGTCCCTGATCCCTGCGGCTTCCCACGCCATCCCGGGGGATCCACCCGGGGGGCTCCGGCGGCGCTGCTGCTCGGGGGCAGATGCTCAGGCCGAGCGGCGTCGGTGCCGGTGAGAGGCCCCTGTGCGGTGCCGTGCGGTGCCCGCGCCCCATCCCGTCCCACCGCAGCCCGGGCGGGACGGGGCTCCGGCCCCTCGGGGGGCTCCGGGCAGGGTGAGGAACATGCGGCGTCCGGGTCCTTCCGATGCAGGTTCCTTTCTCACGCGGCAGGTGCTGTGGGACACTCCCTCCCCTCAATCGTCCCTTTAAAACCTAAACGCGCGGTCTCAGCGCTCTGCAAACGGCGGTTCCAGAGGCAGTGTACCAACAGAACATTTTACAGTTTTTCTCTTGGGTTTGCTCCAATTTACTTTTCTCTCTGTGATTTCACCAGAGCAGTTCGCTGGTGTGATGCTCATTACACACTTGCAGAGAGGGGAGGTCCCAGCCCCGAGCTGCAGGGAGGGGCTGTGCCCGCTGCCCCATCCAGGTGCTTATAGAATCCCTGCTTTTGGACAGGGAGAAGGAACAAAGCTCAGCGGTGGGGTGTGAAGTACTTCTGTGTAGTGTTGCACATCTGGTAAATCTCTGGTACCTTCACAGGATGTAAAACCTGCTCCATCGAGCTCTTCTCATTTCTGTGGATTTTTAGTATCCAGGTTTGGAAGTGAATCCTAGAAAGAGGCAGTCCCGTGCTGCCCTTGTTTTCCCCCGGTGTGCTTGAATTGAGCCGGAGCGTTGCCACTGCCGTGGCCATCACCTCTCCCCTCTGCAGAGTGCCCAGAGCACTAATGAATCACGTTGCCTTTGATTGGTATTTATATAAAATCTTGCATTGCTTTGCTCTCTGGGGGTGCAGTGCAAGGTCTTCTTACCCTGTTTCACAGCCTGGCTCAGGCGTGGGGGTGTGTACAGCCCAGACAGGCAGACGTGTGGCAACAGAGGGGAGAGTCGGGGTGACTGTCTGGATGGTAAATTCCTTGTCAAGCTCTGCTCAGATGTGACTTAAAGAGCTTTCAGTGCCGGGGACTCTCTTATGCAAACTATTCCAGACCTGGGATCAGTAAGAGCTGTCAGCCCTGTGTTATCTCAGCTGCTTCCCCATGGAGTTTGCACCCTCAGCCCCTCACAGACCGGGACCAGCAGGTTCTTCCTCAGCTCTGTGCATGTGCTGTATTGCACAAAATCCCTGCACTCCCAGTGCTTTGCTGTGTCCCTCGTGTCTCATAGAGCAAAATCTTTCCAAGGGTACCTCACCCGTTCGAGGCTTAAAGTGTCCTTTGGCAGCTTATTCCAACAAAAGTAATTTCTCTGGGTGTCGTTGCCCTTTCCCTGCCCTGCTAATATTAATTTCAGTGCCTGGGCTCAGCTCCTGCCTGCTGGGGTTTGCCAGGGCTGCTGAGCTCTTCCACAGTGGGGAGTTTGAGCACCCAAGTATCCGTTGTCTGAAATGAAGATACTTGCACATGTTAATAAAATCACTCCCCAGATGTTTTTTTTAAGTAATGAAAATTCTGGAACTCTGTGATGTCCCTCATTCCAAGACATTTTCTTCACTTCTGGAATAATTACTTTTCCCCTCTTCTCTACAGCTTTCTAGTTTTTGCCCTGTTTGGTATCTGCCCTTTTTGCAGTACGTTTGTATAGGAAGCTTTTAATCTGCTATTACTCCTAATATTTTCTTTTGGAGCCCTCTCCAGAGGGAACTTCTCCATATTTATCATAGTAGTCCAAGAAGCAGGTTTGTTGGTCTTTTTTAAGATCTGTCGTTGCCCAATTTTCTGTTTTCCTCTTCTGAAGAGATGTGATACAAGAGAATAAGTTTGTCAGGGACACACTGTTGCTTCTGTGTCTGGGGCTGGCTGTTGGAGGCGGATCCCTCTGTGCCCATGGGAGTGGGGTGTGGGTGGCAGAGGGGTGGCTTTGTCCCCCCCAGCCACCACTGCCACCCTGGCAGACGCCGGAGGAGGGAGGGTGGGATGCAATGGGCAGCTGTGGGGTTCAGGACTCTCAGGTGGAAACTGTTGCTTCTGTCATCAGCTGTGGTAGGTTCTGGAAACCTCTATGCACACGTGGGATTGTTCAGGACTTGTTGGATGCTCTTGTGCTTTATCCCAAGGGGTTGCACGTGCAGCGTTGGAGAGGGTGGTGAGGAGAGGGTGGTGAGGAGAGCTTCCTCCTGCCCCTTGCAAATGTGCTGCCAGTGATGTCTGTGCTGCCCAGGAGCTTTCGAGTGAGTGGGAAATGGTGAGCAGCTGACTCTATTAATCTTCTAAATATTATCTATGTTTTTTTATAGAATCTTCACACCTCCAGAATTGCCTTTGGCATGTGAGCCCAGTTTCTCAATGTGTGCCTGGTCCCTCTTGCTATCTGTCCTGCAACTCCTTCTACTTCTCATGTGCCTTTTTGAGGCAGGTGAGGGGAACTGATCTCAAAGGCAGAACAGGTCTGGATCTCTTCCTGGTGTCTGTGAGCTGAGGAGTTCTCCAGTGCTCCCCAGGGAGGCACAGCCCTCTGTTCCCAGGGGGGAGGGATGATAGTGGACTGGTCACTGCTCATGTACAGTTGAAGCTCTTTGTTCTCCTGTATGATTTGGCTTTCCTCTGGCTTTTGGTCCCTCAGGATGGGGCAGTGGTGGAGTCCCTATTCCTGGAGGGATGTAACAGCTGTGTAGATGTGGCACTTGGGCACGTGGGTTAGTGGTGGCCTTGGCGGTGCTGGGGGATGGTCTCAGAGGGCTTTTCCAACCCAAACAATTCTGTGATTCCATGGTAAGATTGCTTTGCAATGCTCTGAAGTCAGTCCTGCCTTGTCTATCCTCAGCAACCCCTTTTGCTTTCTTATTGCTTCCCCTCCCTCAGCAGCACTCAGCCCCTGTTCCTGTGCCACAGCCTTGTACCACGTGGCTGCTGGTTCCCTCTGCCTCGTCCCTCAGCTGCTGCCAGACAAACAGGCCACTCTGGTGGAGATCAGAGTGGCTCTGCCTGGTGGCAGCAGAGTTTGCCCTGGTCAGTTCCCAGCAGTTGGAGAACAGGGGCCTGTACCAGACCCACACCCACCCTGTGGCACCTTCACCAGCGCCTGCTCCAGTTTTTGTCCTGGCTCCATCACCAGCAATGGGCTGGGCAATGGGAAGCATCCAATCTATAGTTTTTAGGGTCTCCTTTGAGCCCCTTTGTTCAACAGTGAAACTTTTGTCACCTGGAACCCTCCCAGGAGTGAAGTGTCCGATCGGTCAGGTCCAGGTGTGTGTCCTGAGGTGTGGGAATGTCCCTGCCCAGCAAAGGTGGCCTGGGGACAGCTGTGTCCTGGCACTGAGTCTGCACCTGAGGAAGGGGACCCAGGCAGTGTGGAAAGCCCACACGCACATTAATTCCCAGATCTCTTATTTGGGAATAAAATGAAAGTGTATCTAGAAGGGCACAATATAGAATGACAGTACAGAATGATCGAGGATGGAAATGTTCTGGATATTCAGCCCTTCCTCCCATTACAGAATCACAGACTGGTTTGGGTTTGAAGGGAGCTTAAAGTCCATCTCATTCCAACCCCCTGCCATGGGCAAGGACACCTTTCACTGGATCAGGTTGCTCCAATCTCCATCCAGAAAGACAATTAATTGCTGCAGGACCATTTAGATATTTGCTTCCCCATTTAATTTTTAAATGCTCTACTTTAGTTATGGTTGGTAGTGCTGGATTATGATTTAATGGAAGATTAATGCCCTGGTAATCTGTGTAGTAAAAGAGTCTGTTGGAAGGTAGAACCTTGTGTGGTTCTGACATACAAGGTCTCTGGTAGAACCTTGAGTGGGTCTGGTTTTGCTCCCGCAGAGCTTTCGGTTCTTCCCGTCAACCCTGTGGATCAGTCACCTTGTGCCAGCTGTACACTCAATTCTTTCCATTTAACCTTTGAGGCTGCACTGTGTCTGCCCACATGTTTTAATTGCTTGCTGCTTTCATGAAGCTGGTGTTTAAACTCCTATTCTTCCATCTGCTGTTCACATGTAGGATCATTCTTGTTCCTTGGCTATCTAGTTGTCATGTAGCTGAAGTTGACATGATAGAAAAGGGATGGAAGCACACAAACCCATCTTCTATTGGCACCTTTGTGTTAGTTTGTTGGGAATTGGGGGCTGGTTCCATTCTTCCTGCTCTATAAGGTCATTGCACAATGTGTCTGCCTGTCCTGGGTCTTTTCTGGCAGTCGCACCGAAAACTAAAAGGCAGAAAATGTTGCTTTTTAGGTAAGTCAGGCAGGTTATTTTCTACTCTGAAGAGCAAGTCATGCTGTCCTTGATTCATAGTGGGGCTCATCCAAAAATCTGGTGAGTAGTCTCAGCTTCTGTGGCAATAACAGCGGAAAAACCATCCTTGAAAACCACTTATGTCTTAAAAATGCCAGCCCCAGGGAACACCTGTTCCTGGGGTTCCTGTATCCAAAAATTGCTTTCCTTGTGTGTCTGCTGATGTGGGAATCCTTCCCTGCCACCTCGGCTGGCTCTTGGTTTCTCCTGCTGTTTGTGGGGTCCTGTGGAGTGCCAGCTGCCCACAGGAAGGGATGTGGCCCTGCACACCTCTGTCCTTCAGCCTGTCCCAACTCCTGTCCCTGTGGAAGGGAGCCCACTGTGTGTCCTGTCCTGCTCTGCCCTGGCCCTGCCTCGGCTCCGCAGCCAGCCCTGGTGGGACAACCCACCCATGGTCCCACTGGGGCTGCTGGGTTTTGGGGAAGGCCAGGACAAATTTATTATGACTGATGGAGAGTTCCAAGCTCAGAGAACTGGGACCATTGGTGGCCAGGTTTGGGTGCCTGGCATAGACCTCTGCAGCCCTGGAGTGTTTCAGTCGTTCACTTTGTCCTAATTTCTTAACAGAGAATGGAATGTTTTAAGGGAATTGTTGTGCTTGAGTAAATAAAGGAGTTGTGTTCATTACCAGATTGAGTGACTTATTTTGAAACTTGAGGAGCACATTTTCATCCTGCCCCTTTGACCCTTTTCCTTTAGCACCTTCACAGTCACTTTATTCCATTCCCTGGTTTCCAGGATGGTGGGAGTCCCAGCTTTCCTCCGGTGACGGTGCATCACTGATGGAACTGCCAGGACTGTCCTTGGGAAGGGGTGGGTTATACACGGACAAGTTTTTCCAGTGGAGGAAGTTGTCATGAATAACCAGGAGCAGCACTGAGGCTTTCCTGGTGGAGCAGCACAGATAAGGCACAAATTCTGGCAGGTGCTGTGTCCCTGGGCACGTCAGCAGGGATGGGGATACAGGCTTGGCAGAGCTGGAGTTGTTGCACGGGTGTCTGAGGAGCCACGGGTGGGGCACAGCAGGGGTGTGACACTGGGGGAGAGCTGATGGGGTTTGTTACCTCCCCTGTTCAGCAGGATGGGGAGTGGGAAAAGCTTTCCCAAGGGAAAAGTATGGATCTTCCCAAGGGCATGTTCACAAGGACCCAGGCTCCCCTTCTGATTCCACAGTGGGGAGTCAGCTGAAGTAGCACAGGTGCAAGACACCCATCCTTTCATAGTTATATTTTAAGATAATCTTTCTGCTCTACTAACAAAGGGTTCTGGAAGGACACAAGTGCTCTTGGAAACACTGTCAGGGGTTTGTATGTGGTGTGGCATTTCTATCCATTTTTCTACATGAGAAGTCAGTCAGCAGCACAGGCAGGTATCTGGGGAACCCAGGGCTTCTGCTTTTGTAGAATTATATTTAAAGTGATCTGTGTAAATCTTCTGGGAAGGAAGCATCTCATCTTTACCAAAACTCCAACTCTGGTCTTGTCTCTGAATAAATTTAGCTAGTTTTCCTGTTTTTTTTTTCCCCTCTGTGAGGGTAGCATTTAGTAGTGCAGAGCCTTAACATTCTGGCAGTGACTGTCTTGGCTTGGTCAGGGTGAGGATACAGAGCCCTTCATCCATCCTCATCTCTCTCATGTTCACAGGGCTCAGAGGAGCCACCCTGGAGGTGCTCAGGACTTGCAGGAACAGGTTTTTGATCAGGTCTGCTCTGAAGCAATCTGCAAAATACAGAATATGGATAAATCTGTCAGTTATCCACTGTGGATGACATCATAATTTCCTATTTTATTTTTAGGCTGTGAGAAGAAGAGAAAAACAGTGTAATGATGTGTCTGAATCCTCGAAGAACTTGCAACAATATCAGACTCCTTTCCTCAATAATGCTTTTATTTTGCAGTTTTGGTGATGACGTGTCTGTTTTCTTCCTGCTAGATCTCTAATTTATTTGAATCTGATGAGTCTTGCTCCTGGCAGCTCTTCTAGGAGCAGGGTAATGTCTTTAAGAGAGATTCAGCTGCTGTGCTGGGGGTGATAGATGGTGCTCATTCTGGTGCCAAGGGAGAGCTGAGGCAGCAGCTCCTGCCACACCCTCACCAGGATAAACATGGACATATGGTGCCAAGGCAGTTTGTTGTGGGCCCAAGCTGAAGATAAACGCCACAAGCTGTGATTTGAGAAGGGTGGCACAGGATGGAGTTTGTTGTAAAGAAAACAAAGAGTGTCACAGAAACAGAAATCAGAGTCATGCTGACGTCTGTCAGGACTTCTGTGCTCCTCCAGGGACTCTGAGATCACACAGTCATGGAATAGGTTGGGTTGGAAAAGCCCTCTAAGATAATTGAGCCCAACCATTCCCTCAGCACTGCCAAGTCCACCACTAACCCATGTTTTACTTTTCAAGTCTGTTATACTGAAATGAGAGAAACTCTCGTTTCATCCCCCCCTCCCCCAGTCCCAAATGGGTTATGGACAAAACTACTCTTCTAAGTAGAGCAGGGTTCAGTCTGGCAGAGTTACAGCTGACCCAGGAAGGGTGCCTGGACAGGGTGCCCCATCTCAGGAGGATGGGGAGGAAGGGTCTGTTGTTCTGCCTTGTCCATCGTGGGGTGCCGGGGGCTGTGTCTTGGTGATCCCCCAGCTCGGTGCTCTCACCCCGTTGGCTCTGGCAGGATGGGGTGGTGCTGGTGTGGGCAGGTGGCTGGGATGGGGCTGTGTCACTGGGAGTCAGCAACAGCTTCCTCACCAGGAGCCCTTGGTAGTGTTTAACACTTGGTATAATGAATGTGCTGTGTCTAAATGCACAGGTCAAATGGAGCCTGTGCCCGTGTCTTTGTCCTCAGCATTGTCTGAGGTGGTGTCTGGAGTGGTGAGAGCTGAGAACACAAACCCAAACCTCTGTCTCTCCAGCTCAGCAAGAGGCAGCTTTCACAGGAACTGCTTTTTGTGGTGGTCAGTCTTCTCCACCGAGCAAGACAGATGATATCTATAAAATTCCCTGGGGCCAAGATTAAAAAACTTGTCATGTGTGAGTGTTGGGGACCTGTGCTGCTGGGGATCTCCTGGGACTGGCCTCCTCCTGCAGCCCGGGAGCCCGTTTGCTGACCTCAGTGCCGGCATGGCCCCGTGCCGGAGCTCCCCTGGGGCACTCGTGCTCGGCCAGCCGGCAGGGCCGGGCCATGGGGCTCTGCTGTCCCAGGGGGCTCTGTCCTGGGGGGCTGCTGTCCCAGGGGCCTCTCCCGACCGCTGGCCCCTGTTTTGCAGGCCTGCAGTGCGTGTGCCAGCTGTGTGAACACACCAACTTCACCTGCCAGACGGAGGGTGCCTGCTGGGCCTCGGTCATGCTGACCAACGGGCGCGAGGAGGTGGTCAAGTCCTGCGTGTCCCTCCCAGAGCTCAACGCCCAGGTCTTCTGCCACAGCTCCAAGAACATCACCAAGACCGAGTGCTGCTACACCGACTTCTGCAACAACATCACCCTCCGCCTGCCCCTCGGTGAGTGCCTCGTGAGCGCTGCTGTGACACCCGGGGGTGGGGACATGCTGGGCAGGGGCCATGGCCAGGGCAGCCAGCTCGTGGGGGCTTTAATCTGTCAGTAAAACAGCAGCTGGTTTTGTCCCAGCTTGTTTCAGACAGGAAAATCTAAACTGCAGCTCTGGGGGAGAGGGAATTTCTTGCATCTTGTAAAGGTCTCCCACACACTGCCCTTGGGTCCCATGAGCACTAAACATGAAGATGAAGGGAGGATGTGAAGGTGTGCTCTCAGGCACATGGTGGGGTGCTTGCTCTGTCCTGTGCACGGCCAGGAGTTGGACTCAGTGATCCTTGTGTGTCCCTTCCAACTCAGGATGTTCTGTGATTCCATGATTCTGTGATTCCATGAAGTGTCTGAAGAGAACTTGTAACCTCACAGGTTTTATGGGCTGGACTATCTTCAGGGAGTTTGTGATTTGAACTGGCATTAGGCTGGATGTTGGAAAGATGGTACCTGAAGCACTGGTGAATTAGGAATCGTGAGGAGCCAGGAGCTGTTATCTGGGGTCTTGCAAGGGAATAACAAAGCCTCTGCCCTGCCTGAGGCCTTCCAGCATCTCCACATCTCCACACACAATGGAAAACGTGCAGTGTGTGAGTCTGCCAGGTCCAAAGTTGTGTAATGAAGTTGACTCAGTGCTTTTTAAAAATAAATATTTACACTATTTTTAGGTTTAATATTTTTGACTCTTCTTCCCAAGATTTGTGTTTAATCCAGGCTTTTTTGAAAAACCTGTAAAATACACTACTTTATCAGTGGATACCTTTTTCTACTTACATCAGTGAGAGATGTTACAGGTAAAAATGTACAAAGTAATATGTAATTTACAATTATAACTTGAATTTAAGCTGCTGTTGTATAGTTCTGAATGGAATTTGAAAGGCTGTTGCTATGTCATATAAATATAGGAGGGCAAGCCTTGGGCCCTGTCACCTCTTGCTGAACCCTGGTACCCAACCTCACCTGTCCTATGGGGTAGGAATAAGGATTATTTAAGTGTTTTTCTTTCAGTTGACTACAGAAGGGACACCCTAATTGTGGTTATGCTCTAGAAATAAAGCACCATGCTGGTTTTTTTCCAAGCTGGGATGCTGGTATCTTAGGTTAAAGCTATTTCTGGAGGAGCAGTGGAGGCACATCTGTCATCCCAGTGCTTCAACTGGCAGTTGCAAACCCTCTAGTTTTGTATTTCAGTACCCCCCAAAAAATGACTGAATTCTTATCCTGAGCCCTTTGCTCTAAACATTTGGGAGAACTCATGTCAGTCAGAAATGTAACAGTGCCAATGTGGTTTGTGTGCCTCTCTCTCTCTCTTTTTTCATAACTATCTCTATCTATCTCTATCTATCTATCTATCTATCTATCTATCTATCTATCTATCTATCTATCTATCTATCAATCTATCTCTATTTTTCTATATCAAACTCCTTATAAATTTATCTATTTCTTCGTATCTATCTATCTCTTTAGGTGTATATATATGTTATATATCTACCCACTTCCCTGCCAACCTGTCTGTCTCCACTATGCAGATTCTAGTCAGAAAGTGGAGCGTGTGGGCATGAAAAACTTGCTTTTAGGCAGGATTGACTCTCCTGGAGGAGGAGAAGCCCTGAGAAGGTCCAGTGTGGTGCCCATCCCTGCCAGGCGAGGCAGGACCTTTGTGTCCTGCTGGGACACAAACCTGTCCTTCAGCTCTTCTCCAGGCTTGGAGCAATCTGGGCTAGTGGAAGGTGTCCCTGCCCAGGGGACAGGGGTTTGGAACCAGGTGGGCTTTAAGGTCCTTTCTAACCCAAACCATTCTGGGATGCTGTGACTGTGGGTAATCACCAAGGGGTTTTGTTGTAAAGGTACCAGGAGTGCCTGGAAAACAGGGAGATGATCCGCAGGGTGAGGATCTCGGGGGGCAAAGGGCAGTGTGTGTGCTCTGGTGCCTGAATTCCCGTGGCAGAGCTGCAGGTGGCAATGCCCTGTCAGAGCAGGGTCTGGTTGGTGCCCTGGGGGACAGGAACTGGCTGTTCATTTGAGTTGGGATTTTTGTTTGTTTGTTCTTTGTTTGGCTGGTTTTTGTCTGTTTGTTTTTACAATGTCTGAAAATACACATCTTTAAGGACAGATTCAACCTGGATCTCTGCTTTTTATACCCTCCTTCTTGTGGGCAGGGATTTCATTGCAGTATTTTGCATTAGCAGGAGAAAGTCTCAAAGTGCAGGATGAGTTTGCTGTAATTGTTTTTTTTTTTAATGTGTTAACCTGGATTCCTTTTTGGGCTTCTACTGGTTTAACTGGGATACTTTCTGCCCCAGCTCAAGGTGAGCTTCCCCTGTCAGTGGGATGTCACAGCAGGGCTGAGAAAATGCTCTGTGTGCTGCTGCCTTGAAGGACCTCCCTTTGATAAACCATGCCCTGCACATCCCTCACTCTCATTTTCTCTGCAGAACTCACCTCGTGCCCTCAGTGTGGAACAGGCTGGTTTGAGCAGCTGTGGGTCAGATCCAGAAGGCTCTTTGAGTTGTAGACTTGTGTCTCACAGGATTTTCGGGCCATATTTAAGATCTGGGAGACAGAGCTTGTGATCTCTGCCCCCACTCCCCTGTGAGTGGGGTCTGTAGTCATGGTTGAAGCTGGAGAAACTTAATTTTAGGCTCTAGCCCAAATTGTGTGTTTTTGAAATGGTTTAAAAGTATTCTGTAGAGCTGACTAGAGACCCCTATTAATGAAATAGATTTTCTTACTGCCTTGGAAAGAACATGTAATTTGCCCCCCTGAGTAGCCTAGAAACTTGCACACACAGAGTTCAGAGCTTTTGGAAACCTTAAAGTGCTCATTATGAATCAAAAGTAAATGGCTGTGTGTGAGAATGTCTGTTCCATTGGAGAGGAAAAAAATCCTTCCTTTTTTTTTTTTTTTTTTTTTTGCTGCCTATAAGTACTATTTTATTTACACAGATTGGACCATAACTACTCCATGTTGTGAAACTGCTGAGTGCTGCCAGATGTGCTGCCTTTGGTTCACACATGGCAACGTGTGTCAGCTTCTATTCTTGGTTAGTCAGTCAATGAACAGTACATTCAGAATAGGATTGCAAAATGGGATTAATGGTGTTGTTTTGCTGGCTTTGGGTGGTCCTGAGGGATTGTCTGATTTCCCCAAGAGTCTGACCTTACCCAACTGCTGTGGATGTCACCACTCTGGTGTGGCCTTTAAGGGCACCCCGGGCGTGGGGTGTGTGTTGTGTTTGTGGTGTTTGTCACTCTCCTGTGTGTGCTTTGGGCTGTGGGGAGCCCCTCGACCCCCGAGGGGTGTGTGCAGTGCTGGTCCTGGCCACGGGCCGTTTGGTGCACGGGGTCAGGGTTGAAGATGGCCCTGACTATAATACAGGAATCACAGTGCTGGTTTTTGAGATATTTCTGCTAGAAAGAGTGCTGCTCTGGAGTGGAGGGAGCTGCAGAAAGGAGGGAAGAGAAGGAAGGAGCTGGAAGGTCTGGGAGGGGTGCAGGACAGTGGTGACCACACGCTGTGAGAAGGGGCTGCTGCAGAGCCCATGCTGAGGAGGTGGGAGGACTCTCCAGCCGAAGGTGACACGGGCTGTGGCCAAGGCTCCCAGCAGGAGCAGGAGGAGGACCAGGAGCTGCAGGTGTAGGATGTTCTCCCAGGCTCTCTCCCACTGCTGGTGTTTGGCATCTGGCACCCACCATTCCCACTGGAGCTGATGGCCAGGCTGGAAGGGCAGGTGTTTTCCAGTGGGAATGCTGGTCACTGTGCTGGCAGCAGGGACCATCACTGCTCCAGTCTGGGGCACTGAACCCATGGGCCAGCTGTGCACTGCTGAGAGTCCTCTGCTGTTCCCTGAGGAGTGGGATGGGATGGGATGGGATGGGATGGGATGGGATGGGATGATCTGAGGCGGTGGTGTTGGGCGGTGGTCAAGAGACCAAGCTTCCTGCACAGAAGGTGTGTGGGGAAAGACTCCATGTCTTACAGGAATGGGATCTGTCTCATGGCCAGGATGACTGCGGGCAATCTCTGACCCTGCCACGCCGTCCCCCGCAGCCCCTCCCTGACGTGTTGCTCCAACCCCGCTCTTGTGTTCCCACAGCGTCGGAGTCCCCGGGCAGGGCCGGCCCCAGGCCCGTGGTGCTGGCGGTGACGGTGGCAGTGCCGGTGTGTGTGCTGGTGCTGGTGGCAGTGCTGGCCGTGTGCACCTCCCGGGGCCGCCGGCGCCGCGCCCGCCGCGGCCACAAACCACCCAACGTGGAGGAGCCCCTGTCCGAGGGCAACCTGGTGAGCTCCGGGAAGACGCTGAGGGATCTCATCTATGACATGACCACCTCCGGCTCTGGCTCTGGTACGTGGGGTGCCCTGCACGCCGAGGGGCTTTGGGCCGATGCACGTGGCCACCCCTGACGGCAGTGACGGGGCTTCGTGTGCTCCTCTGCTGTCAAACTGCAAAAGTTCTGCTCTTTGTTGGAATGGAAGAGTTAAAAGAGCGAGCTCGGAAATCAGATTCAAGTGTGACACCCAGTGCTGCTGGCTGATAAGGAAAGGTACTAAACTCACCTGAGTCAGGATGCTGCTTCTGAAATTTTTAGTGTTTTATTGCAAAATAACTTTACCCAAAATTCTTTTTCTGAGCAGAATGTCCACCTTTCTAACATTTTTCCTGTTTCTGATATTCAGTCTACTGTGGTGCCTCCATTGCAATGGAGAAGTTTTTAAACCAAAGAAACACAAAAATGAGGTGGAATTAATATATTCCAGCTCATCTGGCCAGTGGCACATCTGGGGTGTACAGCCCAGCTTTCCCTAACTACAGCTTTTATTGAAAAATACGTAGATTGTGCTTGCTTTTATTTATAAGTGAAAAATGTAGGAATGGTGCCTAATTTAGTTGACTTTATTTCCATGGGCTGCATACCTCTGAGGATTAAGTTGTTGTTCTTCCCTAACACTTTTTCACAGCTATAATGAGCAGACTTTGGCTTTATTTACCCTGAAGTTTTAACTCTTCCCAGCCATCCCTGAGCCAGGAACAGGGCTGGACTTGTGCTGATCCAGAGCCCCGAGCAGTGGTGCAATTTGATCTGATTTCAGCCAAAATCAAGGCTGTCTTGATTTAAAAAAAAATATAAAAAGTAATAATTATTTTAAGTCCCCAGAAAACACAGAATCAAACCAAACAAGGTAAAGGTTATGGCTGGCAAAGGATAGTGGAGCTGCTATGATAATTTATCTTTATTTTTGAAAATATCAGTCAGAGGGAAGCAGCTAATTGACTGTAGGACAGCTGCAATTCCTATCAAACCAAGTGGAATAGTTCAGGCCTATTTTTAAATTTTTATTGGGGCTTTTTAATGTTTTTTAAGTATATGGACACTGAAAAGTAACGTCTAAAAGGCTGAGATATTAGTGGGGAGAGGATTTTCCCCTGGCAGTCTTGGAAAACAAAGCCCTGAGTGCAGCTCACTGGGAAAGGGCAGCGTTGGGATTTGAAGATCACAGTTGAGCTGTTTCCCAAGTACCTGTCTCTCCTTTTAACTAGGTTTGCCCCTGCTCGTCCAGAGAACCATCGCCAGGACGATTGTCCTGCAGGAGATCGTGGGGAAAGGCCGGTTTGGCGAAGTCTGGCGTGGGAAGTGGTGCGGGGAGGATGTGGCTGTGAAAATCTTCTCCTCCAGGGACGAGCGGTCCTGGTTTCGGGAGGCAGAGATTTACCAGACGGTCATGCTGAGGCACGAGAACATCCTGGGCTTCATCGCTGCCGACAACAAGGGTACGGGGCGGGCGCGGCAGCGGGGGCTCCATCCTCTTGCAGGGCTTTTCAGCCTTCATAGTTCTGGGGTTCTCCATGGTGGCCTTGGCAGTGCTGGGTTAATGGTTGGACTCAACAGTCTTAGAGACCTTTCCAGCCCAACTGATGCTAAATCCTGAGTGTCTGTCTCAGAATAGCTTTCGCTGCCCCCCCATCTGCAGCACCACCTCGAACCGCGCGCTGTCCTGAGCTCCCTCCCGGTGGGACAGCCTGCACACCTGCTTGTTTGCATTCCATGCAAAATGGGAAGGCTTTCCCCAGACAGTGTTTTTAATAATCTTGCTTCCTCCGGGTAGATAACGGGACGTGGACTCAGCTCTGGCTTGTCTCCGAGTACCACGAGCAGGGCTCCCTGTTTGACTACCTGAACAGAGGCACGGTGACAGTGGAGGGCATGGTCAGGCTGGCACTGTCTGTGGCCAGTGGCCTGGCCCACCTCCACATGGAGATCGTCGGCACACAAGGCAAGTGCTTCCTTCCCACTTGTCCTTTGAGCATTGTAAGGTGCTCCAGTGTTGTTTGCAAAAACATTTATGGGTGACGTGGAATTGTGAAGCATTTTCCAAACTGTTAACACCAAACAGTGTGTGAGCGCTGCAGGGGAACAGGGATGTCACCTTCCCACTTCTACTGTCTGCACTTCCTCCGTGGCTTAGCTGTGGGAGCAGCTGTGCTAAAGACAAGTGAGCGCTAACGAAGGAAAAATTAGGAAAAACTTCTTCCCCAAAAGGGCTGTCCAGCTCTGGTACAGCTGCCCAGGGCAGTGGTGGGGTCACCATCCCTGGAGGGATTTAAAAGCTGTGTAGATGTGGCGCTTGGGGACAGGGGTTAGTGGTGGCTTTGGCAGTGCTGTGGGTACAGTTGGCCTCAATCATCTCGGAGGGTTTTTCCAAGCCAAGCCATTTGATGATTCTGTAATTTTCTAAATTAATTTGAAGGGTGAACTTCCGGTTTCTTTTCTTGTGTTTTATTCTTGAAATACAGATATTGAAACAAAAATGCCATCAAAGTTTTCTTTTGAAGTTGACGGCATTCAGCAGAGCTTTGCTTGCTCAAAACAGGCTTCAGTGTTTCTATAGGGGATAGTAACAAAATTGAATAAAACTGGTTTTACATCCTTACTCATCATATTAAAATCCACACTGTTCTTATCAAAATTGGAGGTGGTTTCTCTCACTGTGAACAGGGAAGCCAGCGATCGCACACCGAGATCTGAAGTCCAAGAACATCCTGGTGAAGAGGAACGAGACCTGTGCCATCGCCGACCTGGGCCTGGCGGTGAAGCACGACTCGGTGCTCAACACCATCGACATCCCCCAGAACCCCCGCGTGGGCACCAGGAGGTGGGTCAGGCACTGCCAGCCCCCAGACGGGCTCACTCTGTGGGGATGGCTCCTCCCAGCCCTCCCCTCCATCACTGATGTCCCCTCCACTCTCGCCATCGGCCGGGGGTCCTGCAGACCCTGTCCCTCCACCCCGGCTGGGTGGGAGGGGAAGGTGGTTGCCGTTCCCATGGAATGGAGCTCCCTGTCCCACGTGGGATGTGGCTCTGGCACGGACATCATGTGTTGGTCACTCCACATGCTCTGGGCCTGGTCAGGGCATGGCTCCAGTGCCATGAAGGGTCACCTGGCCCTGGCACGTGGCAGGGCAACCATGGCCTTCTGCAGGAGCTAAACTGCCCCTGTGTGCTCCAAAGGTACATGGCTCCCGAGATCCTGGACGACACAATGAACACGAACATCTTTGAGTCCTTCAAACGAGCAGACATTTACTCCCTGGGGCTGGTGTACTGGGAGATAGCCCGGAGGTGCTGCATTGGAGGTGAGGTGCCTTTTCATACCATCACAGAATCCCAGAGTGGTTTGGGCTGGAAGGGACCTCAAAGCTCATCTCGTTCCACCCCCTGCCATGGGCAGGGACACCTTCCACCAGCCCAGGTTGCTCCAAGCCCTGTCCAGCCTGGCCTTGGACACTTCCAGGGATCCAGGGGCAGCCACAGCTTCTCTGGGCAACCTGGGCCAGGGCCTCCCCACCCTCCCAGCCAGGAATTCCTTCCCAATATCCCATCTAAACCAGTTTGAACACATTCCCCCTTGTCCTGTCCCTCCCTCCCTTGTCCCCAGTCCCTCTCCAGCTCTCCTGGAGCCCTTTAGGCCCTGCAAGGGGCTCTCAGCTCTCCCTGGAGCCTTCTCTTCTCCAGGGGAACCCCCCCAGCTCTCCCAGCCTGGCTTCAGAGCAGAGGGGCTCCAGCCCTGGAGCATCTCTGTGGTCTCCTCTGGACTGGCTCCAACAGCTCCACATCCCTCCTGTTCTGGGGACCCCCGTGCTGGCTGTAGCTCATTTTGTGATCCACACCACTTTTATCTTCAGTAAAACCAAAGCACTCCCAGTTACTGCAGCACTAAGTGGGGACAGAAGATGTCATGGAGTCGTTGTCCAAGGTGGCCCTGAAAGTTCTTCTGTTCTCTCTCATTGCTTTTAGAAACAATTAGAGTTTATTGTGGAGCAGGTACTTTGTATGTTGTATTACCTCCACAATAAATGTTCCCTAGGAATCACTGAGGAATACCAGTTGCCTTACTACGATGTTGTGCCTTCTGATCCTTCAATAGAAGACATGAGAAGGGTTGTCTGTGAGCAGAAGCTCAGACCGAATATTCCAAACCAGTGGCAAAGCTGTGAGGTAAAACCAGTTCTCTGGTTTATTTTAGTTTATTTAGTTTAACTTCGTTTATTTATTATTATTAGTTTAGTTTAGTTTCTAGTTTATTTTTTCTAGTTTTATTTTATCATTTATATTTTCAAATTTAAATTAAAGCAGAATTTTTGAGTGAGAGACAGGGTGCCCAGCCTCTCCTGAATTGAGATGTGTCAGATGTGTAGCTCTCCTTCAGCTCTCAGGTCAGCTCTTTGCACCAAGTGCTCAACTCTCTTAAACGTGGATCTTCACTAATGCTGCTGCTGTTGTGTCACTGTTTCAGAGAGCTGCACTTCATTTTCCTGTATTGCACTTGCGAAACAAAGAGCGGGAGGTGCTGGTTGTACTCCTGACCTATTGTTTGCTCCTTGGGAGGGGCAGAGGAGGGGCAGGCACTGAGCTCTGCTCTGTGGAGATCAGGAACAGCACCGAGGGAATGGCTGGAGCTGTGTCAGGGCAGGCTCAGGTTGGATCCCAGGGAAAGGTTCTTCCCCCAGAGCACCCTGACCAGGCTCCCCAGGGCAGTGGGCACAGCCCCAAGGCTGCCAGAGCTCCAGAGGTTTTGGATGATCCTCTGGGGCACAGGGGGTGACTCTGGGGCTGGGCCTGTGCAGGGTGAGGAGCCGGAGCGGCTGACCCCCGTGGGTTGTGTCTGTGTGTGCAGGCGCTGCGGGTGATGGGCCGGGTGATGCGGGAGTGCTGGCACGGCAGCGGCGCCGCCCGTCTCACCGCCCTGCGCGTCAAGAAGACCGTCTCGCAGCTCTGCCTGCAGGAGGACTCCAAAGCCTGACCGACCTCCCCGCGCCAGGAGACGGGAAGGAATTGTGCCGTTCACCTTTCCACGTGTGATAGTATTTTTATTTCTGGTCTACCTCAGATAAGGTGGTTCAGTATTGCAGTGCCCGGAGCAGAGCACTGACCTCGAGCGTCGTGTCCGGCCGTGGGAAGAGGCAGCTTGGGACTCGAGTTCGGGTTTGGTACAGCAGGTCCATGACTCGCTTTGCTTTTGTGAGTAAACTGGACACCAGGCGAGTCACAGGAAGGAGGTTAAAGCATCACAACAGTGTAAAAATACCTTTTGCTGTTGCACTTTTCATCCTCGTCAGACCCCAAATGCCCTGGAAATGTCTGGTGTTGGTTAAAGCTGTTTGCAAAAAAAAACCTCATGTTCTGTCCTCAAACCAAGTAGAAGACCAAATTTAACCCAGCTTTTTACCTATTTTTATGCAAGAATCTGAAAAGGGGCTATCAGTAAAAGCAATTAAAAAAGATGGAAATTCCACTTAGCATGTACCTTGTGAACAAAACCATTGAGTCAGTTCTCTATTAATATTTATATTTAATGTCTTGGTTTCACATACAATATTATGGTTAGGGTTTGAGTTGTTTATTCTGTTCATTTGTTCGTTGAACAGATCGACCAAGGAATAACTTTTCTTTCTAACAGTTTTTAGAAGAAATAATAGAGGCAATACTTTTCCATTAGTTATGTAGGGATGAAGTGGGAGAAATTCTACCTAAACTGAGAAAATATTTATTTTTAACAATATCTTGCTAATCACTGGTAACATTTTTTTTAGTGCCTTTTGATGTGTTGGGGGAAGCTTTAACAAAAGCCAACACAGCCTTTTCAGAGGTTTCTTATGGAATTCTGTAACAGCACCAGGCTGGTGACGAGTATTATCATCTCTGATCATGTTTCCATAATACCACAGCCATCAAAGCGAGGTGTTGTATCAGAATTCACTGATGTTCTGGCATTTTGTGAACTGATGCTTCTGCCCCACTCCATGGCCCATGTATTTGAATATAGTGTTCTAATATATTTAATAGCCAAAATTATACATTTCATAATCATATGGTTCTTTAAATCTTTAAATCCAGCTGGTCCATGGAAATTAAGCCCAAAGATGTTTCCAGAATAGCAGAGCTCTGAAAAAATCTTGTGTAGCCCACGCAGCTCCATTGCAGTCAGTTGTTGGCTGATCACAGATTGTCAGATCAATCTCTGGGGTAAAATCTCTTTAATTGGAACTGTTGCAGGGGAAAATGGGTTAAACTTTTACTGAGTGGGGTGGTCTGTAGTATCAGCACTCTGGGTTTCTTCCTGACACACATCTCCAGGAGCTGTGGATCCTTTATGGCTGTTAATTGCCCGTAAATAGGCTCTGATGCAATTTACCTGTTTGCACGGGTGCTTGTGTTAAACAATGTGGGTCTTTCTGTGGTCTGGAGCTGAGCAGTGGAGAATATTTCCCTTAAATTACTGGTAGATTTTTCTCCAATGTGGTTTCTGAGATATAATCAAAGGTGTCTCAGAGATTTGGGCCAGATTGGATGGGGCTTGGAGCAACCTGGTCTGGTGGAAGGTGTCCCTGCCCATGGCAGGGAAGGGAACGAGATGGGCTTTAAGGTCCCTTCCAAGCCAAGCCATCCTGTGATTTAATTCTTATGTGCTTCAACTGCATGAACTACCCTGTAAAGCTCAGTAGATGTGACTTTCTAGGCTGTTGGAGGAGTAATTTTAGCATGATCCAAAGCATGGTGCTGACTTGTGTATCAAAACATTTGCAAACCTAAGATCCAGCATTTGTTCTTGTAGTACTTAAGTTGAAAAAAATTCCTTATCTTAGAAAGGAACAATCGAAGATACTTTTTTTTTAAGTGGGAAAAGGGTTTCAGTTTTCAGTTGCCGTTCTGGAGTCTCTGAAGGTTGTTGTTCAGCCCTATAATTTGAACAAGACCCTTTTGGGCCTGGCTGGGAGGTGTGGGTGGAGGATTCTCAGGCTCAATGCCCTTGCACAGCTCCAGCCCCAGGGATACTTTAACCCTTTCCCTGCACATATCTCATGGTATCAGACATTATAGTCTGTTTGTCCTGGCGTTTCACCTAACTCAGTATTTTTGCACTGGTTTTCTTTTTTCTTTTGTTGTTGAGAGGCGAATGTGTATTTTGGTGAACCAGAGTTAAAACATAACCGAACCAAGGGCTGATGATGTTGTATTGAGCTCTGAAATGTTTGCAAACTCTACATTCCTTTAAAAAAACCCAAAGAACCATTGTTTTAGTGGCCTTTCCCCTCCATGTGGATCTGTCCAGTTCTAATTTAAGCACAGAGGTTATGCCAAGACACTTCTGTGCGTTTTAGGGAGGCTTAGGTTTCCTCAGAGGTTACAATGTTCCCGCTAATCTTCACTTAAAGCACAAGTTCTTAAACTCATAAAAATTTTCAAGGTCAAGGATGCTCAAACCCCATCACCACATTCAGCCTCTCCTAATTGATGCTTCTAGTTGGAAGGAGTTACTAATATTTTATAGTTTGCTTCTAATAACAACCTAAAGCTTAATGCAGGGATTATGGACTGAAAGGGAAAGTTAATTAATGTTTCCTCGAGCACCGAATTGTTTTGTGTTTCCTGAGCTGCTGCCCCCAGGCACCCCTCGAGAAATTCAGGCTGTAATCTCCTCTGCACTTTGGTACTTTTATTATTTGCACTTAACCAAGGTCGTTCCCTCGTGTAACCCTATAATGAACCCTACAATATTTTAGTCGTTGCTATGTCACTTCTTTTCTTGGTAATAAATTCAGGAGTTATAGATGAATTTATTTAGAAATATGTCCAGTCCCTACTACAATAGGTCTGGACTTTGAGCAGGCCACGTTCTTGTCTCAGTCCCTGTCTGCCCAGAGCTCCTGTGCCACTGGTGGACTGGGGGCTGTCCCCAGCAGGGGTGTCCTGGGGGCCGGAGGGTTCACAGGCACAGAGGAACAACCTCATTTTTGTGTTCCTGAAGGTGATGGCCCAACTCCCCCTGCTGTGGTTCCATGGGGGTCTGTGAGGCTGTTCTGGGGCTGTCCTTGAGGTGTCCTTGGGGAGTCCTCCCCCAGCAGCACCGGGAGCCAGTCCCCTGCCCTGCCCTGCGCTGTGTGTCTGTGATTCCAGGAGCATCCCCACGGGCTGTGGTACCCCGATCCCCCAAAAGCTTTTAGGGACAGATGTCCAAGTTCTGCTCTAACAGGCAGAGCAGTTTATGAATGTACAGGGAGTAAGACTGAGGTACAATATATTTCTGCAGAATATAAGAAATGTGCAATAAGTTGTAGCTTACACTGAATGTATTTTTGGATGAATGGACTAGATGTATTTTGGATGTAGCTGTGACGTTTGTGTCTAAACCTGCTGCTGTTCTCAGTTCCTAAAGAGAAATGTGTCATATTTTGTCAATCTGCAAACCACTTCCTGAGTTGTCTGTTTTTAAAAGAAGCATTAATATTTTACCTGGAACATTGTAGTATTTCTGAAATAAGTAGAGTGGTGGCAGTGCTCAACCCTCGTCTTGTGAAATACGTGATCTGTGTACACTGCAGAGTTATTTTTAAAACTATTGCTAAAGTTATTGCTTGATATTGCAGCTGCCTGGATGTAAATAATGGTTTAGCTGTTGTATTTTGTACGCGGATTTTTCACCCCACATACTTTGGGGAAGACGTGGCTATTTTAATAAATTCAGTGTACTCTGCCCTGGTGTTCCTGTGAAGTGTAAAATTGTTTCTGTGAGGGCAGAAGGGTTGAGCCTGTTCCAGGTAACTTGTAGATGTTGGAGGTTTCAAACTGAAGCAAAGTTCCTCTGCCAGCATGTGCCCCCAGCCCCTTTCCTGGCTGTGCTGGGCTGGAGGACGCTTCCCAGGGCTCCCAAGGTTCTGCAGGGACTGGGAATGGGCATGTTCCTGGCAGCCACTGCTTCCTCGACTTCCCATCACTGTTCCCGGCTGACGTGTGGCAAAATGAGCAGTAAGTCCTGCCTGGAGGGGCATCCAACACCCCTCCCAGGCTGCTGTGCTGGTGGGCAGTGCTGGGGCAAGAGCTCTGCTCCTTCTGGCACCTGCTCGTCCTGGTGTTTGTTGGACACGGTGACACACGAACATCCAGCTCCTGCTGCCAGCTGTGCTTGTTCTGGATGAGGTGGAAACAGCTGCAGGCCCTGGTGCTGAGCTGGAGCACTCCCTGTGCCCTCCTGCTTCCCTGCCTGGGACACAGCCCATGCTGTCCCACACTGAGCAGCCTTCCCAGAGAAGGGCTGGTGGCTTGTACCCGTAGGGACCTTCGCTCAGGGCTCTGCACCCACACCCGTGTGAGCTCTGACTGAGCTCCCTGTCATACAACACTCCCTGCATTTGTTCTTCCAGCTATTGGTGTAAACCTGAGTGGGACCTGCTCACCCTGAGCACCTCAGTGCTAGTCTGTGTGCTTGAAAATGCCCCTGACGTAGCCACAATCTGGGGGTTTAAATCAGGTTTTATTTGAATTTCAGGCATGTCAAAATGAAATCTGCCACGCTGTGACCCAAGAAACTTTTGTGGCTTTTGAAAGAAACTGTGGGCTTTTATTTTTTTTCCTTAAAAAGACCACTGTATTATAGCAATTACTTGTGAATTCTTGCTCTTTGGTCCCAGTGTATCTCCAGGAAGGCGGCATTCCACGGTGCTGGCTGTGCAGATTTGGCAGTCGGGGCTCTGGAGCGGATCCCGACGGAACGGCAGCAGCCGGTGGCTCATCGGTGAACGTCGGCTGCCATCCCCTGGCCACCGCCGCGCCGGGTGGGCGTCTGTCGCACGGGAGAGCAGTGCTGCGTTTCCAGCAGCCTGGGAAATTCCTGTTTCCCAGAAACACCCTTCTCCAGCACACCTGGGTGGAGGAGGAGCTGCCCCTGTGAGCCAGGTGGGTGCTGTGCCCTGGCCGCTGCATCCCGGCTCGGTGGCAGCAGAACACCACGGGCTGTCACCTGGGGAGAGGTGTTCAGGTGTTCATGAGAAATCGCTCGGTGGAGGGTTTGGGATAATTCCTCGTTACCCTGTTGGGTAAACCGACTCCCCAGGAGCCATTGGAGCACAGCTGGTAGCACAGGAGAGGAGCCAGCTCCCGGGTCCCTGAGGGTTTGTGTCCTGCAGAGGATGGCTCCTCTCTCCTTCCTTCTGCCCTGGTAAGGTGAGTGTGGGCAGAAACCCTGAAGGCACTGTAGACCTGGAGGAATGGGTGTTCCACCCCTGGAAGCTTTCAAGGTCAGGTTGGACCGGGCTTGGATCGACCTAGTCTAGCGGGAGATGTGCCATCGCTCGGGCCCTGACACGGAGCGAGCGCCGTGCTGGGGAGGAGGCCGGGGCAGGGCATCCCTGTGATCCCAGCGGGGTCTGACTCGTGCTCCGCTCTGCCTCCGGCTCGGCTCCGGGCGGCTCTGAGCGGGGCCGGCGAGGGGCAGGCGGGCTGCGAGGGAGGGGGGCGTGCCGGGGTGTGGGGTTCGTTGTGGGGGTGTGGGGTGTGTGCCGGGGTGTGGGGTTCGTTGTGGGGGTGTGGGGTGTGTGCCAGGGTGTGGGGTGTGTGTCGGGGTGTGCGGTGTGTGCCGGGGCTGTGGGGTGCCTGGCAGGGGTGTGGGGTTCATTGTGGGGGTGTGGGATGCCTGCTCGGGTGCGGGGTGCGTGGATGGTGTGGCGCGCGGGTCAGCAGAGCGGGCGCGGGGCTGCTGGGGCAGCTCGCACCAAGGTCCTGCTTTGTGCTCTGATGGGAGGTTTCATTTGTTTCTGCCCTCAGCTTGTTTACAGATGAGTCACTGGGTTTCAGGAACGTCAGAGAGGGCTGCCGGAGGAACCGAAATGTGCTTTGTTTGTTACCAAAGCACTCACCGGGGGGACCGTGAGCAGGAAAAGGGGAAGCGGCTTTGAGTCACCCGCTCTCCGCATTGCTCAGCGTGCAAGTCAGGAGATGCCCCTCTGGGCTACAGCTGCTTCTCTCAGGAAAAAGGAGAGAGCTTTCCCCCTCTCCTGCAGTGCTTTTTAAACATCTATTTTCTGCACCTTAACCCAGAGGGGTTCCCCCAAGGAACTCGAGATGAAGGACAGACCTTTAAACTCGTTGCTGCAGAGCTGCTGTGGTGTGCAACACTTCCCTGTCCCCATCGAGGCACAGGGACTGCAGGGACTCCTCTACACATCAGCCACCAATTCTCCTCCAGGTGTGTGGAGCAGATGTTTCCTGACAGGATGTTTCTCTGCTGCAAGATGCCAGGTTTTTGAGGGATGAACATTTAGGATGGGGATGTACTGACACTTCAGCCATCCAGGGCAATGAGTGGATCCCCTGGATCACCATGCCAACATTTTCCTGGCACTAAGAGCTCCTCTGCACCAGCAAATGTCAGACACCTCCTCCATGGACACCCATCCCTGCACCTCTGTGTTGAGCTGTCGTGACAGCACTTGCCAGCCTGCACTGAACTTCCTCATGGCTGGCAGAGACAGAACCCCCTCACCCCACAGTCCTGGCTGCCCCCTCCTCTCCCTGTGCCCTTGCCAGCCTTTCCTCCCAGGACTGGGGGTCCCAGGTGTGTGCAGCACTATCTTGAAAAGGTGAAGAAAAAGGCTTTACTCAGAAAATGACTGTAACTTGTGCATTTGTATTACTTCTCTATATTGATAGCAGTGGTCCTGCTTTTCCCCATGCAGGTTCACATCCAAGCCAGGGCCAACTCTGGTTGCTTTGTGCAGTTGCAGTCCCTGGTATTTGTCCATCTGTCTCAACAAAAAATGGCACAGTGTGTTTCAGATGAGTCTGTTGGGTTGTCCAGCCTGTACCAGTGGCTGCTCCAGGTCACTGACAGCCAGCAGTGCCAGCGGCTGGGACCCAGGGCTCCAGCCATGGCTGCAGGGCTGCGTGCCAGGGGTGGCCCCTGCTCTGTGGGTGTTTAGGACTCGGCTGGGGTGACTGCCAGGGTTGGCAAGCTGTGCTGCTGCCTGCCTGTCCTCCTTCTGCATTGCTGACCTGTGACCTAGGGGCAGTGGGGACAGGCAGCCACCCCTGTGTCCCACCCAGGCCCGGGGCTGCTTCCCATGCTTCTCCATCACACCCAGGATCAGGGAATCCAAAGCTTATTCAAAGCTACAATGAATTGACAACAAACAATAACTGCAGAGAAAAAACAACCCTGCCAGAAGTTCTCAGACTCATAAATCCTCCTCAACATATTTGCTGCTGGGACAAAATCCTTTGCAAGACAGGAACCCCCTGCAAAACTTGATTTTAGGATGACTGCTGGGCAGTCGGTCCACGCTCTGACTGGTGCAGATCAGAGCGAGACTCCGGTTGGGATCACTCTGCTCTGGGATGGACCAATGGCTTAGTGGCCCTGGTGGCTCCCTGGCTGCTGGCATGTCATGCCAACACCTAGGGAGGGTCTGCAGGGCGCCTGGGGGTGTGACCACCCCCCCTGCACTGGTGGACTCAGTGTGTGGCCCTGTCTGGGCACAGCGTGCCTGCCCTCCTCTTCACCCCCCTGTCACCCCTGCATCTTCCTCGGGCCTGGTCATCCAGGACAGGGATGACATCTGGCCAGGCTGTCCCTGGCACTGTGCCTGCCTGGGCCCTGCTGTGGCAGCCCCTTCTGTCCCTTCCTGAAGCCCCTCAGTTGACTTTGCTGTGTGTCCCCAGACCTGCCGTGCCAGATAAGTCCTTGCTCCCCGCTGTGAGCCAAGTGCTGTGCTGAGGGCATTGCTCTGCCCTCTCTCTGCCACGTTTTCAGCTCCTGCCCTCGACCTTCAGCTCTCATTTCCCTCTCCGGAACTGGAAGTCCTGCACTGACACCATTAGCCAAAAGCAGTGTTATTTTCCCCATCTTTGCCAAAAGGTGATTCTAGGGATGCCAGGAATGCCGAGCAAGTCAGAGAATGTGCAGGTTGAGTTCAGATGAGTGCCTGAGGCAGGCAGGGCCATGAGGACAAATCCTGGCAGAGCAGCAGCTGTTGGTGAGAATCGCTGTGTGCAGGAATGGAAAAATTAAGCAGATTTCTGTAACTGCCAAGCCTAATTCTTAACTCCCCTGTGAGCACAAGGCACACCGAGAGCCTGGGGCTCTGCTAGGAGGGATTTGTGTAACGTGCACCTAAACCACAGGTCACGTGGAGGCCTTTCCGCTCTCACCCTTGTGGGTGGCAGCGGGCGCAGTTCCGTGGCCATGGCGCAGGGCTTGGCAGGGCCGCTCTGAGCCCCTCGCCATGGCCCTCAGGCGGCTCCTGCAGCAGAACCACACCGCCAACGCCGCGGGCTGCAGCCCCGACGGGCAGCAGGCGCTGCCCACGGCCGGCCGGAGGATGCAGCACTTGGCCAGCACGGTGGGGACGCTGCCCCGCGGGCGCAAGCAGGTACGGGCTGGCTGCGGGGGGCCGGGGCTCCTCCTGCCACCCGGGCGTGACCCAGCAGCGACCGGGCAGGCTCTCTGTGGCCCCCGGTTTCGGGGTGCTGGAAGGATGACTGCCGGGTGCCGTTGGCTGGGCCCGTTTGGGGGCTGGCGATGGGATCTTGGCAGCGCTGGCAGTGTGGGAAGCTCCGCGAGCAGCGAGTGATGGGGTGTCCTGCCCTGCCTGTGGGCTCGGGCTGTGAAGGGCGGCAGCAGCCGAGATCCAGCCCCGGATCAGCTCCTTCTCCATTTCCAGCCCCTCTGAGAGCCAGAGGGGCTCGTGCTGCCTGGGTACTCCCTTAAATGTGCATTTCCCTCAGTCTAGCAGCCTGACCACTGCCCTCTGCTCTGCAGTGCTGACAGAGAGCGCCCACCACAGAGAGCGCTGTTTCCATCTGGATTTGGGGGTGTTTCTGTACAACTATTGGGGCTGTTTGGGCTGTCTCTTTTGCTGGGCTTTCCCCCCAGTACAGCACAGAGCACCACATTGCTGCAGCTTGTTGTGGGATTCCCACAGGACTGTCCTGCTGAGGCTGAGAACCATCAACTGAGCAGTTCCAGCTCTGGACTTTTTGTCTGACATGAAGAAGCCTGAATAGAAAGCGTTTGACACACATTATAGTCTGAAATTAGGATCAGAAAAGTAGTGTGTAATATCTGTGCACTTAAGGTTTCACTTTGTTCAGCCACAGAAACACACTTCATCCTTTTCTTGGTACATGTAGGGAGATAAGGAAAAGCCAGAGCCAGGCTGGTCCTGGGAATGCTGGTGCTGGGTGGCATCAGCTCCCATGGCTGTGGTGGAGCTGCCCTCGGTGTGGCAGAGCAGCCCTTGGTGTGATGGACCCACCCTCGCTGTGACTTGTCCCCCTCAGTGTGGTGGTGGCCGCTGGCAGGGCAGGGTGGTGGTGACGGTTCTGTTGTGGCTGTGGCTGGCAAAGCTGAGTTACAACACCCTTCAGAACCAAGGGCACACTGCAGGGCCCGTCCCCTGTGCGGGGTCCATCACCCTGTGTGCCTCTTCCAGCCCTCCCACCTTCTCTGCAGTGGGTTCTTACACGTGTGGCCTCTCCCTCCTCTCCTTGTCCCTCGACAAGTAACTGCACGCCCATGAAGTCGCTGTTTCTGTAGGAGATCACACTGTGGCACCAGTTGATCCTGCTGAGCCTGAGGCATTGGCTGTTTCAGCTACAGACTTTTCACTGATATTGTCATTCCTCATTCCTGGTTCAATTTTATGGGAAGAATCAATGATCCTGGCTTTTCCCAGAGACCTCTCCAGGCACTGCCTGAAGCAGGGATCCTGGATGTCCGTGTCTGGCTGGGAAATGCTGTGCAGCTGCCACGAGACACCTCAGAGCTCGCTGTCTGCAATCACCTGGGTGCTTTATGCCTCTCCTGGCAGGTGCTCGGTTCATAAATGCCCACAGACTTTTAGAGGAAAGGTACAAAAATGAGGTGAGCTCTCGGTACAACAGAGATGTGATTTGAGCACTGAGCTCAGTGCCAGCATCTGACAGGTGACTTTGACCTCTGGGTGCTTTTCCTCCTGGTCAGAAAGTTCAAGTTCCCATTTGAGGCAGAGGCTGTGTTGGTGCAAGGTGCTGTGGGATGCCACCAGCTGCTTTTAGCTTTTCTCTAAACTACTGATTTTAGCCGTGTGCCTCCAAGAGCCACAGACCTACTGATCCCTGTCCTCTCCCACTTCTGGTCACAGCTTGCCTTAGCCAGATCCAGCTCCTCGGGTGACTCCTCCAAGCCGCAAAGGTACGATTCTATGATTCTAGAGTCACTGTTATTGTTTACTCTGCATGAAATGTGTCCTGGGAATCTTCCCAGCTCAAGTGGGATCAGGGTGCAAGGCAGAGACCAGTAGCCAGTACCTGGGTAATGCAGGTGACCTTTAGTTTGAGTTAGTTTGAGTAAGGAAAGAGGCAGCACCACCACTGCTCCATCAGAGGGACGGCGTGGGGACACCCCACAGGCCCAGGGAGAGGTGATGGTGGGAACACGATGGTTTTGGTTGGACATGCAGGTGCACAGAGCGTGTCACCCCATGTTCACACGGAGCTGTGTGTGTTCTTCCTACAGACACCTCGTTGCAATATTGAAAGAAGATAAAGAGACGTTTGGGTTTGAAATCCAGGTAAGACTTAAATGATAAGATGATTCATTAAAAAAAAAAAATGTGGTGCAGAGTCTTAAGTGTCACATCCTTAAAATCAGGTTAAGGCAGCCCAGAGCAGAGGAAAGTGACTGTCAGATTCTGTGAAACTGGAAGAGCTTACAGCACTGATATAGAACTAGGATGTTTTTCCAAGGATTTTTTCGTAGCAAAGGTCACAGATGAGAATTTCTGGCATTCTCACAAATCAGAGTGTTGAATGTAGGAGAAATCCCATCCAAATCCACATAAGAGGTGATGGCAGTGCCTTCTTGCCTCCATAAGTGAACATTTTTTTGAGAATTGTATATGAAAATGTTGTCATATAAAAGGAGAGAAATAAAAAAGCTCTCTTCAAAAAATACCTTATACTGGCTTTTTGCTACCTCCCTTAACATACATAGAGAGGTAGGTACTTTTGAAGATGCAAAATACTGGTGTATTTTTCAATAAATGACTACTAAGCATAACTTTTGGAGGGGGCTAAATCATATAGGAAGATATTCTGTTCAATGTAGAAGTGAGTAAATCATCAGATATGAAAAACAGAATTTTATCAGGAGTACAGCTAGTGGGAGACTTTTTCCATAGGTTTTTGTGAGAAAGGTAACTTCCTAGATCACCAGGCCAACTGTAGCTAAAAATTATCCCAGGAATAAAGGGATGTAGTTTGGGAGCAGTGGGATCTGCCTGCCAACAGCAGGGCACCTCCAAAGCACTCTCCCAGGGAGAAGCGGTATTTTCAGTGAAATCAGTGCATTAGGAAAAGCTTCACTTTGCCCAGTTTGGGTCTGTGACTAATGAGCAGGGCAGCGCTCGGCTCGTGAACAGAGCAGAGCTTTCAGAAGGGAGGATAATTGAGTCGATTATTGGGCTTTTGTGTAAACTGTCAGGGCAGATTTTCATTGTGTGTGACATTCTGATTAAAAATAATTGTTCCTGGCACATTTTCTTCCCGAACGCACATTTAGCGTGAGCACTTCATAGAAAGTCTGGGCCATGGAAAGGCAGCCTCTGACACTGAGGATAACCATTACTTAGAAGCTGTA